CCAGTGGCTGCCCACCCTCTCCTTGACACCTCCAGTGATGGCAAGTCCACAGCTCCCCTGGCATCTCTCCCACTGCCTCCCTGCTTTAACAGTGACATTTATCCTAAGACCCAGGCAAGGGGAGGAACAGAGCATTGAAGTGAGGTGCACCAAAGGGTGGGCAATTGGGGGCCAATGCACTATGGCTCCATCAGCCGCATGCCAGGCAGTGCCGCCCCCGGGGGCCCATGCACTCACCTCCTGGGAGATGTCCTCGCGTGGGGCCAGCTGTTGGCTGATGGCAGCCAGGGAGGCCTGGTCCACATCTCGCATGCACTTGTTCAGCACCTCGATGGCCTCGTCACACTCCTGCTGCCCCGGTGCCTTGTCTCTGCATGACAGGAGCCGGCATCCTCAGGCTGAGCATCAAGCTGAAGTTGCTGCCCTGCAGCGTGGCTGGGGCCCCCAGACTCCCAGGGCCATTGGAGAGGCCTCCCTGGGCTCTGGCCAGTGCTCCCACCACCCTCCTGCTGCTTTGACTGGTGGCTGGCTCAGGTGCTGCCAGGCATGTGCCCCTTGGCTCAGCATCCACCAGAGCACAATGGGGCAGTAGGGTGCAGGGGGCAAAAGCCAGAGAAGAGCTGTATCTCCTCCACCAGGCCAAGTCAGAGGCCCAGACTCCCTGTTCCCCAACCCCTGCCTTCCCTGACAGACATTGGCCCTGGGGAAGTCCAGGCAGTGTGGGGCACCAGCCCTCACACTAGGCTACAGAGTGTACACTCCCCCCCGCCCCGTGCTGAATAGGACGGGTCTACTGCAGATGCAGGCAGCCAGCCAGCCCTGCAGCACTCCCACTCGGGGCACACTGCCGAGCAGAGCTAGAGCCTTTGTGGGGTGATGAGAACCAAGCTGGGGCACCAGCCACCATGGCCCGGCCTGCAGCTCAGAGCAGGTGGCACTGGCATGGGCGAGACCCTGGTGCAGGCACTGCTCTCACCTCATGTTCGTGATGAGCTTCTTGATGGAGTCGGAGACGGTGCGAGAGTGCCCAGCCAGCACTGACCACTGGGGCGGGTCTCTGGGGTTGACAGCAAGTGAACGGGCCGTCTGGATGAGCCCGGCCGAGCTCTCCAGCATAGTCTTGGCTGAGGAGATGATGGGCTCCATGGCTCGGCGCCCCTGCAGGGGAGCAGCCCAGTGAGCCAGCAGCACACCCTTCCTCTTGGCCCCTGCAGCCAGGGCTCACACACTCCCACACCCTCCCCTGGGCTGGGGTAGACCCTGCTGACTCCCCCCCGACACCCCAAGACTCCCAGTGCTACCACCCCACTGGGCCCCCAGGCCCGACTCTCACCTCAGGGCTGATCTGGGCAGGGACGGTGGCAAACTCCGGGTTGGAGGCGAAAGCCGTCAGGTTGTCCACAGCCTCGATGAGGGGGGCGGTGGCCGCCCGGCAACGTTCCCGGTTCTCCTCATTAAAGGCTCCATCCAGTGCCTGGGCCAGGTGGAGAGACAGCATCTCGCAGCAGCACAGACAGTCCCCCACCCGCCCGATGCCCGCCTTCCCTGCACCCCTCTGCAGCCATGCCTGCCTTGCTGGCAGCAGCCGGGTAGTACCTTGATGGTCTTGACCAAGCTGGCGGTGCTGTTGGCCACCTCCTTGGCGGACTGCACAAACTGGCGCTTGGCCACAGGGTTGGCGGTGCGGGATGAGGCCAGGCGGCAGGCATTGCACAGGGCCGAGGTGTGCTTGGCTACAATGGTGGCGGCTGACAGCACCTGTGAGGGAGGGGAGGGGAGG